ATTGATTTACCAATTGAATTTTTGTTTTCCGCTGCGTATGGTAGATCAATTACTTACAATGTCGGGCCAACCACTGCCAACCGCCGCCGAAAAGTCATTGAAGTCGTTAAAAATGACTGAGAGTCGTTGGGAGGCTCCGATATGGCATTTTTTTGCCATATTGATGGCCGAAAATAGCCATATCAGACTAGATTTGGCCGTTAACAGCCAGATCCATGGCCATTATTAGCCAGATCCACCTATCTGGCCGGAACTAGCTAGAATAGATCTGGCCATTCTCGGCCAGATCTACTTTGATTGGGGTGTTTTCGGCCATCAATATGGCTAGAAACAACCATATCGAAGCCTCCTGGTCATGATGGGCTACTCATGGTGATTGTAAGAGACTTCCGACGGTGGTTTGCGGTGGTGGCAAGCGACGACAGAGTGGTAGGGGTGATTTTATTATAAATTATAGTTTTATATAAGCAGGGGTGTTTTAGCTCAATCTAAAATATTAGGGGTTAAAAGAAATTATTCAAAAATTAATAATAAAAATAATATTATATTAATATTTAAAAAGAGGGCAATCTATATATTTATATAATGCTGAAGCATACTGCTTCTTCTGACGCCACGTAGGATTGATATATGATCACCATGTAGGATGTGGTTAATTGGTCCACGTGTTTGTTGTTTATTGGGCTTGCTATAATAGGGATTATTCACATGCATTCAATTAATGTATTCAATACAAATCTTTCACATTCCTCTTTTAATTTGAGATCTTTCACATTCCTCTTTTAATTTGATAAATTACTAATGATTCGCTTGTGTCTTATTGATTTCCATGAATATTAAGAGAAATTATTCACATGCATTCAATTAATGTATTCAATACAAATCTTTCACATTCCTCTTTTAATTTGAGATCTTTCACATTCCTCTTTTAATTTGATAAAGATACAACATATCTTTTCACATTCATGAAATTCAATAATACACTTTATTAATCCATTAATATTCAACGTTCATTCATGCATATTAATTATTATTATTAATTAATATTGATATTTTTGTACCCCTTCACATTCAATTAATTATTATTAATATTAATATATCTTTACCCCTTCACATTCAATTAAATGTTTTTTATAAAACGTATTATCATTTAACATTTAATACAAATCTAAAAATTTTAAACTCATCCAATAACAATAAAACATTTAAATCAAAATAACCATAACCAATAACATGCAAACACTTACTAAAAAATACCATTAACAAATGGAAGACAAAAGACCAACTATTGTCAATCCAAAATCCAAACAAACAGAAGCGTGCGGTAAATAACATCAACTAATTACTCTTATATTCCTTCTGTATATCTACTTTTACATGTCCATTTTTTTATTTTTAGCAGATCAAGCAGCAACGTTAGATGGTTCGCCTGAACTGGAAGGTATTCTACAAAACCTTAAAGTCACACTGGACAAACTCAACACTGCCATAGTGATGAACAGGGATATAATGAATGCTTTGTTAGAAATAACAGGTTCAACCATACATGTAATATTCGATTTACGGAAACGTGAATCCCTGATTATTGCTGAAGAAAAGGAACTTGGTATTCCTCAAGGAAAAAAATAGAACTATATATATAAACAGTTTTATTATCAATAAAATCAATAAAAGATTCACAATTTATTGTTCCCACTAAATGATGATACTAGAAGCTAATATAAATACTGTTTATTCTACAGTTAATGCATAATTCTACATTACTATTTTACACCTTTTAATCCATTTCTTAAAGATTCCATTTCATTGTATAACTTAATGGGTTGGATTTAAATTTTAAAAGTTTTTTAATTAAGTAGTGAATAAGTTTCTCAACAATTGAACTTAAACTTATTCTATATGTGTTGAATGATTCATTTCTTTGTATAATTCAATGACTTAGATTTAAATATTGATTTTTTTTATATGTTCCTTAAAATGACATGAGAACTAAACGTCTACAGTTGTTTTTGTTCTCAGAATGATCCAAAATTGTCTTTTTGCAGATTGGCTATATGGCGATATGTGGGATTGGTTCCAGTCTGGGTTTGGAGGGTGTTGAGAGATGGAGTTTAAGTGGGAATTTGTCAACAAGGCTGATTAGTAGGCAGTTTGTGGGAAGTCAAAGTCATGTGTGATGTTTCAGAGGAGAAGTTTTGGAGTTCAGTGTTCATCTTCGAGGAAGGTTGTTTCTCGAGTTGAATCTGAGGTTGTTTCTATGGAGGAAGAAGAGTCAGGGCATGTTATGAGGTTCAAGATGTCTGATTTCAAGATTCTTGATCGTGTTAGCCTTGGCCTTGCTAGGCGGGTATGTTTGTGTGAAGAATTCAAATGTTTATTGGAAATTTGATGGCGGTGTTTGATTGTTTTTGTGATTTAATTGAATTGGGATTTCCTGTAGGTTGATGAGGTTGTTTTTGAAGCCATTGTGAATGATTCTAACATGTTTCATTTCTTTTTTGTTTCCTTCTCATTATTTTCTTATGATATGTTAGACTAAGGTGTGAACTTATGATGTTTGTATTGTGAGATTGTAGCCCTTTGTATAACACAAGAGTTGTGCTAGAAAACTAGATGAAACGTAAGATCAATTGAGGAGTGAGTAACTTCTATTGCTACTGGTAGTGCTTTTAGGAACCAACATGGTTATTGGTGATGGCATTCTAACTCCGTCAATGTCTGGTATTATTTCTTTCATACATTACATATATTTTCCATGTGAAGTTATAGATTGATTATGGTACACAACATAATGGTATGGTTTTGTCCATAGATCTCCATCAAATTGGATATGATATGTTTTAGCTACTGCACAATGTATTAGCTTCCAAGAATTGCACAACTTTCTCTTACTTTGTCACATTTAATGCATATACAGTATGTGTTTATGTGTGTGCATGTGCATGTGTGTGTGATGGGATAAATGAGTAACATCCTGTTAATTTTTTTTTTTTTAATCATAAATAAACTTGATTGTTCTCAAACCCAACAGCTAACATGATGGAAAGTAAAGACCATATTCGAAAGGCAATCTTTTCTTTTATAGAGTAAAAATTTGATGATTTATGTGCCAACTTAGTGTAATCTTAAAAGCACTTACTCTTTAAGTTTTCTTAATGTCTAAATGCAGTTGAATTTTTTTTTTTCTTGGTGCTTTTATGCAACCAGACTAAATTTAGTAACCCATTATTTTCTTTGAGTATAAACTCAAACTTCTTGCAGAAAGAGTTTTTCAAATAGAAATTTTTAAGTTTTTAGTGAACTTTTGCGTAGAACTTAAGTTTGGATTAAAACATATGCGGATGTTTGACAAATTCTTGGATATTCATATTCATATTTGGCTAATTTGACTAACCTCTTGACTTGAGGACGAACTAAGCTCCAGCATCAAGCTCTTTGGAGAATCAATGATGCCTGTTTCATTATCAGTTTTTGATATATTCATGGAGCTTGGAACTACAGTTCCCATCTTTCTCTCTGTGCTTGACTAAGAGTTGTTCCACCTACAACAACAACCTATACACCACCTGTTGAGCAACCGGAAGTGGTCATCCCAAGTGTAGCCAGCCATTGCCCCACTCACCATTGCCCCACTCACAAGTGCTTACTTTAAACCATTGTTTGTTTATGAAATTTCATATTATTACTGATTTATTTTTGAACGTAAATTGATTCAGTTTTGATTCCTTTATTATGCAGCCAACCTTTGGTAGTGATGGTCACAGTGAGCATTGATGGGGGTGGCATTCGGAATAATTTAATGAACACTTCTTTTTCGGCTTAGACACAGTATGAACCATTTAAAAAAAAAAATATTGTCTATTTATTTTGTTTTTCTGTGTCTTATAAACAATGTTATATTGCAAAGTGTTTATCAATGAAGCATATTTTATTATCAAAAAGTTGCAAACTTACATTCTTAGATAGGTTATACATGTTTTTGTTGTGGACTCTGTAGCTAGTAATAGTTTGTGTTTTGTGGCGAATAGAGTTTGTGTTGGATGATGAAGGATGACAAGTTTTATTTTATTTTATTTTTGCTCATTTCATGGTGCTGGGCAGCCTTTTAAAATGGTGAAAGATTAAATATAGGACCTCAAAGCAATGGTTATATTTCATGCAGGAACTACTAATTTTAAGAAGGGCAAAATTGTCATTTCAATTATATTATTATGTACCAAATTGTTATAAGAAAAGTGTTGCAACTCTTCTTTTGCTTTGAAAAGGGAATATATTTCTATTACTAAAATGTTCCAGTATTATGTCGTTCTTCAATTAATTAATTTATTTGTGTCAAAACCACTTTTATAAGTTGTGGGACTTTCAACTTCTATGTATTGAATTTAATTAATTCAATTCCTGTTGAATTACAAACTGACCATTTCAATCTTTCATCACTTGCATTTTATCAAATTAAAAGAGAAATGTGAAAGATCTGTACTGCATACATTAATTGTATGTATGTGAATCATCTCTATTTTATCAACACCAATAAGCAGCAAATATAAGGACCAATTAACGACATCCTAAATGACAATCATATAACGATTTTCAGCAATCTTTAAACATAAAAACCCAATTAAAAAAAAAAAAAAAATACCAAAATGTTCTATTTTAACCAATATTTGACATATTTTTTTGTGAAACAATAGTCGTTTACAATTTCTTAAAATATAAAAATTTGATAATAAAATAAAAATAATATAATAAATAAACCCGCGCAACGCGCTGGCGTGCCATCTAGGTTAGTAATTTAAATAATATACCCACCAATTTATTCCTTCTAACAAAACATATTAATATAACATACTTACAAATTTATTTTAATTAATTAAATATATTTCTCTAAAGATTTTTAGTAATCTTCATGGTAATATATCATTCTATTAACACACCCTTAATGGTATATTGTTCGGCCTAAACTAATGTTATCCTTATTATTTTAAACATTTATATAAAAATTTGTGAAGTATCTACTTATCAAAAACTTTGAACAATTGAACTATGGAACGTGCCGGTACAGAGTACACACCGTGACGAAGTCGTTTGAACCCGTACACGAGTTCCCAAGTCTCCAACTCAGAACTAAGAAGTCGAATCTCTGACTCTGTTTTACATTAAAACCAGTGTTTTACACAACGAACCTTCACTCGCTCCACTTTTCTTTTTGCAAATTGCAGTATGGCTTCTGCTTCTTCAATCTCTGCTTCCACCTCCAATTTATCCGAAGAAGAGCTCACTCTCACTGTCAAGTGGAGCGGCAAGGAGTACACCGTCCGGGTCTGTGGGGACGACTCTGTGGCCGAGTTGAAACGTCGAATCTGTGAACTCACTAATGTTTTGCCCAAAAGACAGAAGCTTCTTTACCCAAAAGTCGGAAACAAACTCGCCGATGACTCTGTTTTGCTCTCGCAACTTCCCCTTAAGGCTTTTCTCAAGATGACCATGATTGGGTTCGTTTCTCTTTCTTTGATTGTATTTGAGGTTTTTGATACTGGGTTTGAATTTTTGTTTGTTTTTACTTACCTCTCTGTGAATTGGTTCGTTGATTTACTTGTGTTTTTTATATGAGGAACTGGTAGGTTTTAGGTTATGGTAATTGGGTTTATTTATTTATTATTTTTTTTAACAATTAGGATTTTATGCCGTTATGATTAATTAAAAAAAAAAAAAAAAAGAACTGGAGGAAGTTTTGCAATTCAGAGTTATGATAAATGGGTTTTTTAGATGTAAGGATTATGTTGTTGTGTTGTTATGATTATTGGGCTGGAGTTATTCAAAAGAAAATAAAAGAAAAAGTATTGATTTTTAACTTGAAAAATTGGTTTTTTTAAGGATTGAATTGATTTTATGGCTTTCTGGCGTTACAATTACAACTTGGTTTCGAGTTCATTTTTTTATGGCATCAACTGAACAAACTTGTGCGTATTGTAGTCTAATTACAAAAAGTGTTATTGGAAGACGATGTGGATGTTGGAGGACAATGGTAAGTTACCAACTTAGTAGAGCACCATTGATTAGTAATAAATCTTTCACAAGTTATGTAGAGAGAATTTTGATGTGAGTTCATGTATAAAGGTTTATTCATCTTTGGATTGGATAAAATTGCTACCTTGTTTGGCTAGAGGTTTGGCATGGACTCACTGGCTATATGTGCACCTTGCATGTATTTTGTCTGGCTTGAGGCTCAGTTGTTTTGGGTTTATTGAGTACTCTTTGTATTGGTTGGTTCTGATTGGACTCATTTCCGTATTGTGTTTGTCACATAAGAGGTCAATATGGGGCTTCTATTGGAGAGAGGCCGTCTCTAGTGTGAGAGAGCAGCTATGGGGGTTCGTTTTGGTGTTCAAATTTAACCTTTATATTGGAAAAATACTCAATAAGTTTGATCTGCATAGGGCACTCTTTGTCGTATATAGTGTTAAAAAGAATTTGAGATTCACCTTGGAAAATGAAGGATTGTGGGGCTAATAGTCTGAACTAGTGGAGATCATAATTGTCCTGAAGTTGTGGGTATGGATTGAATGGTGTGGCTTTTGAGTTTCAACCAGGAGATCAATCAATCAAATCCCTTTAGGGCCACCTACCCGGGATATCATATCCCATGAGTTTTCTTATTATTATAGGTTTTAAAGTGTGGTAGTAGTTCGTAACTTTGAACATACTGCACCACATATTTTGGAANTATTGTTCGGCCTAAACTAATGTTATCCTTATTATTTTAAACATTTATATAAAAATTTGTGAAGTATCTACTTATCAAAAACTTTGAACAATTGAACTATGGAACGTGCCGGTACAGAGTACACACCGTGACGAAGTCGTATGAGCCCGTACACGAGTTCCCAAGTCTCCAACTCAGAACTCAGAAGTCGAATCTCTGACCCTGTTTTACATTAAAACCAGTGTTTTACACAACGAACCTTCACTCGCTCCACTTTTCTTTTTGCAAATTGCAGTATGGCTTCTGCTTCTTCAATCTCTGCTTCCACCTCCAATTTATCCGAAGAAGAGCTCACTCTCACTGTCAAGTGGAGCGGCAAGGAGTACACCGTCCGGGTCTGTGGGGACGACTCTGTGGCCGAGTTGAAACGTCGAATCTGTGAACTCACTAATGTTTTGCCCAAAAGACAGAAGCTTCTTTACCCAAAAGTCGGAAACAAACTCGCCGATGACTCTGTTTTGCTCTCGCAACTTCCCCTTAAGGCTTTTCTCAAGATGACCATGATTGGGTTCGTTTCTCTTTCTTTGATTGTATTTGAGGTTTTTGATACTGGGTTTGAATTTTTGTTTGTTTTTACTTACCTCTCTGTGAATTGGTTCGTTGATTTACTTGTGTTTTTTATATGAGGAACTGGTAGGTTTTAGGTTATGGTAATTGGGTTTATTTATTTATTATTTTTTTTAACAATTAGGATTTTATGCCGTTATGATTAATTAAAAAAAAAAAAAAAAAGAACTGGAGGAAGTTTTGCAATTCAGAGTTATGATAAATGGGTTTTTTAGATGTAAGGATTATGTTGTTGTGTTGTTATGATTATTGGGCTGGAGTTATTCAAAAGAAAATAAAAGAAAAAGTATTGATTTTTAACTTGAAAAATTGGTTTTTTTAAGGATTGAATTGATTTTATGGCTTTCTGGCGTTACAATTACAACTTGGTTTCGAGTTCATTTTTTTATGGCATCAACTGAACAAACTTGTGCGTATTGTAGTCTAATTACAAAAAGTGTTATTGGAAGACGATGTGGATGTTGGAGGACAATGGTAAGTTACCAACTTAGTAGAGCACCATTGATTAGTAATAAATCTTTCACAAGTTATGTAGAGAGAATTTTGATGTGAGTTCATGTATAAAGGTTTATTCATCTTTGGATTGGATAAAATTGCTACCTTGTTTGGCTAGAGGTTTGACATGGACTCACTGGCTATATGTGCACCTTGCATGTATTTTGTCTGGCTTGAGGCTCAGTTGTTTTGGGTTTATTGAGTACTCTTTGTATTGGTTGGTTCTGATTGGACTCATTTCAGTATTGTGTTTGTCACATAAGAGGTCAATATGGGGCTTCTATTGGAGAGAGGCCGTCTCTAGTGTGAGAGAGCAGCTATGGGGGTTCGTTTTGGTGTTCAAATTTAACCTTTATATTGGAAAAATACTCAATAAGTTTGATCTGCATAGGGCACTCTTTGTCGTATATAGTGTTAAAAAGAATTTGAGATTCACCTTGGAAAATGAAGGATTGTGGGGCTAATAGTCTGAACTAGTGGAGATCATAATTGTCCTGAAGTTGTGGGTATGGATTGAATGGTGTGGCTTTTGAGTTTCAACCAGGAGATCAATCAATCAAATCCCTTTAGGGCCACCTACCCGGGATATCATATCCCATGAGTTTTCTTATTATTATAGGTTTTAAAGTGTGGTAGTAGTTCGTAACTTTGAACATACTGCACCACATATTTTGGAAATTTTTGGAAAAAAAAAAAAAAAGGAAAAAGACTTTAGTGAACTTCCGAGAGATGCCCAGAATGAGTAGCATTACAGTTAACTAACAAAAGTTGTCATAATATATGTTTTACCTTTTCTTAAATTTTTTTTTTTTTTTTTTTTTTTTTTAACGAGTTCACTCTAGTTCTAGAATTTGGCCTTTTTAATATTTTTTCCTGAATGTGTTATTTTTAATTGGTATTAAATTCAACCGAACTTACAGTACCGTTGAAGATGAAATAATTGTGGATCCAGTGGAATCTCCAGAAATTATTGATGATTTTGAACTTCGACAAGAAGAAGCTGTTGACATTAAGGATAAAGAGGTTAATAAGCAGAAATTGAGGAGACGTGTGAACCAATACAAGGTCAGTTGTCCTATCTTTTATTTTGTAAAGGAATAGTGATCAAATGTTTGTTTGAGGTGGTTGTGATTGATGCAGATGCAAATATACTAAATGTCTATTGAGAAAGTATATTAAGATGTGAAACGAAATCTTCATGAAGCTGATTCTTAGAAGCTGTATAACCTTTCATTGTCGTTCATACAACCCTTTTCTTTTTCTCATTCTTCTCTTTTTCCAATTTTTCTGTAATTCAAAGTGGGCGGTTGGGGATAGTCTGTGCCATTCTACTTCTATAAACCATAAAATTATTTTGTAATATATTTATAATGTGTATTTGATTTTGTCAATTAATTTCTTTTTTTTTTTTTTTTTTCTGATAATGCTTGCATAGACAATGTAGAACTTAGATATTTCTCTTCAGAATATTCACAATATCATTGGCCTTTATCACTGATATTCATTGCTAATATTTGAAGTAAATTAAAACATTTAGTCATTGGAGTATTACTGCTATTGATTTCAATTGACAAGGCATTATAAATGAAGTGTTGTAATCAGCATGTTGAATCAGATGAGGATAATTGTGGACACATTATTTCATTCTTTCTGTTTTTTTCTTTGCTTTTCCTAAAAGATATTCCTTGTTTCTGTTCAGTTTTAAAATGTAGTTTCAGCAAGTTAGATCTCTCGTAATATTTCTTCCAGAATTGAGGAAAAGTAGCTATATCGTTATTATTCTTTTATGGAGCTAAACTGTTTCGACAGTTATTACTATGTCCTTAGTCTTTACCATCTTGGCCACATGGCTATTTCTTCTCATTACCAATATATCCATTATTGCTCCACTATATTCCTACTGTTATTGCAGTTGCCACGATTTTATTTCATAATTTTTCTAAAAAAAAGCTTGTACTAAATATAAAATGTGATGAGCAAAAAATGAACAAGCTTTTGATAAAATGCAGGATAACGTAGGACACAGTTGCTACTTGCTACAACTTTGAAACCTCCTTTGTCTTTTTTATTTGTTGCTGTGAACATCTATGCCGGATCATAACAGTAACAATAGGCCAAGTTTCTTATATCCTTTTTCTTTTATTGAGACAGTCAGGGTGCTGTTTATAATGTGTTTAGTACAACTACACGGCGTTTGATGTGATTATTGGTTGCACTAGGTGGTTAAGAGCATTTAGATTTTTACTTTTTCTACCTCTGGTTCTTTAGTTTTTCTACTCTTAAATGTCCTAGATAGAGTAAGTATAGACACTTCCAATTGTCCTTGACTGATATTGTTTTGCCACTTATTTGATTCGGTTGCGTAATGTATGAATTAAATTAGAATGTCCAATTTTTTTTTAATAATATTCTGATTCATAGCACATTATGTTCATTCCTCTTTCAGACTTGCTAATTTATATTAGTATTTCTAACTTGCATTTCTAATTATTGTTATTTTGCTTAATGTTTTCATCACCAACATCTTCCTAAACTTTTAAAAGTAATTTTTGGAATGAAGCATGTTATTTGCATGCACCTTGTACCTGGGTAAATTACAAGGTATGCCAGTAAATAGATATTGCTTGATACTTTTTTATATCACATTAACTTACGCACATATAAGAAATCATATGGAATAGATGCTCTGCTTGCTCTATCACATGGCCTGGTGTCCTTGTTTCTTCTAAAGTGTATTAATTGTAGATTCAACTACGAACACCATGCCGTGAAGGAAAGAAACTGCTTGTTTTGGATATTGATTATACTTTATTTGATCACCGGTCCACGGCAGAGAATCCACTTCAACTTATGAGGCCTTGTAAGATCTTTTTCATAGCTAGTATGTACTTTAATTTCTTCGTATGTTCCGTAACAGTTAACTCTGGTATTGTATTTGCAGATCTTCATGAGTTTCTGACTGCTGCCTATGCTGAGTATGACATCATGATATGGTCTGCAACCAGGTTGCATTTTCGCTCATCTCTTTATTCTTTTACTTTTTCCAAGATAACGTTTCTGAAAGAGCTGGAGCTGATCTGTTTGAGAAATGCTTTCCCAGGCTTATTTGGAATTATCTCTCCAATTTTTTTGGTTAGGGATCTATGTCATAAATTTGAAAGTCCTCTTTAGGCAAAAAAGCTAGTATAGATTCTATGCTAAACACACCAGCTGGACAACGTATCTTGGTTGTCTCTGTTTATAAACTCTGGTCTTTGGAAACTGTATGTAACTAGTAAGAAACTTGTCTTAGAATTTTACATATATTGCGTTTCTGCAGCATGAAGTGGGTTGAGTTGAAGATGGAAGAGCTTGGGGTTCTCAATAATCCAAACTACAAAATCACAGCACTTCTAGACCATTTAGCTATGATCACAGTTCAATCAGATTCTCGTGGAATTTTCGATTGCAAGCCACTTGGCTTGATCTGGGCTCAGTTTCCTGAGGTACACAATGTAGATTATATTTTATTTTTCTCTGCCTGCAGCTTTTTCTACTGTATTGTAAAGGGAAGATTTGAAACATGTGAAACTCGTGATAACATTCTGATAATCTTTGAATGCTGTGAAGAAAGTGGAATCTGTCCTCTTTCATATGGTCAATAATGATGATTTTTTGTTCTATTTGCAGTTTTATAGTTCCAAAAACACCATAATGTTTGATGATCTACGAAGAAATTTTGTGTTAAATCCACAGAATGGGTTGACAATCAGGCCATTCAGGAAGGCCCATGCAAATCGAGAGAGTGATCAGGAACTTGTCAAACTCATGCAATACCTGCTAGCCATTGCCGATCTTGATGACTTGAGCTCCCTTGATCACGGTAACTGGGAATATTATTTCGAGGATAGTGCCAAAAGATGCAGGCATGCATGAGTGATGTTAGCAAGCTTTGAAATTTCAAACTGTTACTATGACCACCTTTTTAAGGTATGTTTTACGTCCTCCATTTAGTGTCTAAACTGGATACATCATGAAAATGTTTTAATAGAATAGACAGAACCTTGAAAATATCTGAACTTTGCCGGATTTCCAGTTTTGCAGCTAGTTTTTTATCTTTACATATGCACCGGAATTCAAATTTTGGTTTGATGAATGTGGCTTATTTGGTTCAACTAGTTTCCGATTTAGTCGTACTTTTTATATCCCCACGGTATCAAAAGATTTTTTTTTCTTTTTTCATCCACTGCTGTGATTGAAGTATTTGTGAATCTCACTTAAGATCCTTGAGAAAATCACAGTGGCGGGGCTACGAAAACCACAACTGACATTATTGTGTTAGGCTTCCCAACCATCGTGGGTTAATAAAACTTTATAACTGTGCATATAATTTTTTATTTCGGAAACCCTACCCTCTAGATTTTTCTCGTTGCTGAAAATGTTTTAATTTACTAGGCAATGTTTAATGTTAATTTTAGGGATGGGCACTAGGGGTGGGAAAATCCGGTTAACTGAACCGGATTTTGATAACCGGAAACCGAAACCGGATTGGTTTTCAGTTATAAATCGGTTGTAAACCTAACCAAACATATTCGGTTCGGTTAATCGGTTTTCAAACTGGTTTGCAATTACCCCCAAAAATTCTTAAATTTTTACATTCAATTCCCTAAATTCAAATATTTATTATTTTATATATAATTTCATGTTATTTTTCTCTTTTATTTTGGTGTTATTGTTGTATTCTTTGTATGAAAAATACATTAAATTACCTATTTGCAGATACTGATTCTAGAGTATGAAACAAAAACATAAAGAATTCAATTACACATTATTTAATAGTCAATACTCATTAATAAACTCAAAAACATAACATAAATTTAATTTGGCAATGTTAAATTAAACATAACATAAAATTACAAATTAAAAAAACTTAACATAACATAAATCATCTTCATCCCACAATGTTGGTGTTAGTGGAGTCTCTTGATTCCGTACTCCCTGGATTAGTTAATGGCACACGAAGAAGATCATTATCTGCAATTAACAACTATAAATATTAATAAATGAAAATAATAAAACATATGAAATATTATTATAATAAGTGGTGTATGTAGATTAAGCTGGAAGACCTAAATCCACGCATATTTATTGTGTTATCAAATTAAAACTTACTTATTAACATATACTACTATATATAATATCAACCATAATTCATGCATATTAAACATGCTTGTTAAAACCTATTTATTTATAAAAATATTGCATCAAAATTAATACTAGAATAGAAGTACGTATAAGGGTTCTACTTTTAATGGGATTAAGTGAGACTAAAAGCTGAAAAAAGTAATGAAGGAATAGAAAATACTAATGAAGAGGACTATATATGTCACATCCTAAGCCTATTAGTTCAATGTCGAATGCCTTGGCCTGCTTAATTTCCTTATTGTGGTTACAAAGAGGTGACATAAATTAAGCATATGCTATGATAACTTTAATGTATAATTCAATTACACATTACTCCCAAAGATCAGTTTACAACAAATAAACACAATAATTGTTAAAAAAAATTAACCAACCAAACCCTAAACCATTTAATCATCAATGATAATATACCTCATATATTGGAAATTTGTAATACTCTTCAATCATCAAGATGAGTTAGATTACTTTCCACTCCTGAAGAGAAAAACTCTACACAAAGTTGGACAAACAAGTTAGCTAAAATCATAAATAATACACATTACTCCCAAAGATCAATTCACAACAAATAAACACAATAATTGTTAAAAAAATTTAACCATCATAACCAAAAAATTTAACCAACATAACCAACCAAACCCTAAACCATTTAATCATCAATGATAATATACCTCATATATTGGAAATTTGTAATACTCTTCAATCATCAAGATGAGTTAGACTACTTTCCACTCCCGAAGAGAAAAACTCTACACAAAGTTGGACAAACAAGTTAGCTAAAATCATAAATAATGATGGAAAATAGATAATTATAATTGAAAGTTAACAAAAAATGTCACCTGACTCAATTTTAGATAATTCCTTTAAGCTTGCCTCAATGGTCAATGGTCCACGCGTATTCCTAATCCAATCCTGTGTATAGATAAGAGCCTCTACTATCTTAGTAGTAAGAGAGCTACGAAATGGATCTAATACATGACCTCTTGTACTAAAAGCCGATTCGGATGCAACCGTTGAAACAAGCATAGCCAACATATCTCGTGCTTTCATAGAGAGTACCACATATTTTGTTGAATTGGTTTTCCACCAATTCAAGATATCAAAAGTTTTGTCGTTGTCATTCTCACAATCGTCCGCTAAATACTTATCCAACTCAGTTATATGCTGAACAACTTTCTTTGCAACCTTTTTCTCATTATACATAACCTTCATGAAGTCCTCATTATCAGCATTTGCATCATGCACATTAATGTCAATTGAAACTTGAGATTTCTCACTTGACTGCTCATTTCATCCACCATAAGCAAAATGTATTGTTAAAATAAAGACAACAAAGCTTCCTTCACTTTTCTCATCAACTTGTCAGCTACAACAACATTATATGCCTCATTATCTACCCAGTCCACATATTCTAATTTGTGCCTAGGATCCAATACCTCTGCAATGAATAACATAATGTTGATATTATCAACATTTGACAATTACTTATCAAATTTCACTTTCATCCGTGTAGCCATATTACGTAAGCCAAGATCAGGACTTTTACACCACGTTGAAATCTTCAACTCAACGCCGAAAATCTCTTGCATGTATGCATTACCAGTAACATAAAGAGACATAGAGACACGTAGAATAGCATCGTAAAATACTTTCAAGAAAGGTAACAAGTAGTGAGCATACTCCCAATCAGTACTCATTGACAAACCTCGTGACCTATCACCACTAGTAAGCTCATCTACATACGTACTATCTTCCAATGCCAACAACTCAAAAGCTTTTTGAAATTTTAATGCCGCTTCCAACATCAAGTATGTAGAGTTCTACTAGGTTTCTACGTCAAGAACCAAATGACTTTTACTTGCGATTTTTTCTTTCTCCACGCACCCTTTAAATCTTTGTAACCTTGCTGGAAAAGACCTTACATACTTCACTGCTGAACGTATTCTAAATATGGAGTCATCCATTTCCTTTAACCCCTCTTTCACAATTAAACTCAAAATATGTGCACAATATCTCATGTGTAGAAAATCACCGTCCAATACACTTACCTTCCAACTTGCTAGTCTAGTCTTGAGATAGCTTACCCCAACATCATTAGAACTAGCATTGTCTATTGTGATTGTGAATACCTTATAAATACCCAAATCAAGCAAACACCGAACAACTGTCTTGCCAATCATTATACCTTTATGACTAGTGATTGGATAGAAATTTAAAATTCTTTTCTGTAGCTATCAATGATCATCAATGAAATGCGTAGTAAGACGCATATAATTAAGGTTCTGAATGCTTGTCCATGTATTAGTCGTTAGACAAACTCTGTGCGAAAACTGACTGAAAAACTTCAACTTTTGGCACTCTCCAATATATATTTTGAAGCAATCTTTAGTCACGGTTCTTCGGTAAGGTACTTGAAACCTAGGTTGTGCCACATTCATCACGTTGCGGAACCCCTTACACTCCACAAAACTAAAAGGTACCTCATCAACAATGATCATTTTTGCTATAACCTCTCTAATCAGATCTAGATCATATTTCCATGAGACCAATGAAGATTGTGCGAAGAGAGCAATGCCGCTTGAGAGATCACGTAATCCTTGTTGAAAAATTAGGGTCTTCTTTCTCTTGTCCGCCACATTTGGAGGATACTTTTTGCATCTATTTAAGTGGTTACATAGACAACTTGTACAATTCTTACTCGGACATGCTAGAAAACTCCCACAGTAACTACATGCCGCAGTCAAATCCTCCTTATTCTCACAATCGCTCTTAACAAAGTGATCCCACACTTGAGAACTATTCTTCCTAGAACTTGTTTCCCTTGCACGCTTGGGGGCTAAAGGTGCTGGTGGTAGCCTGGAATTTGGAGTTGGAGTTGGAGTTGGAGTTGTACTTGTCGATGTCTCATGAGTATTGTCTGTGGCCGATGACATCTATAATTCCATCAAATAAAAATATGCATTAAGTAAATAAGACATCCATATAAATCATATTCTTTTATTTAGTGACGATAACTAAAAATTTTGGCTGTAGTTTTTGGATGATTATTACTTGAGCTTTGAAAGAATCAATCAAATGTATAAAACACAATAAAAGCACAGGTGTAGATGTAGTATAGCGGCAGCTTGATAAACCCATAAATTGATTACATCTTGGTGGTTAGAGTGCTTTCTAGCCCTTCCACAGAAAAATAAAAAATAAAAAACTCATGAAATTGGAAGACCATATTTGATTTGGTGGGTGAAAAAGATAAAATCTTGATATTAAATTATGTATAGATATCCTATGTCTATGTCAATATATCTTTGAAAACTTAACAAAAATATTATTGGGGTCTAAATTCTTGTAACAGTTACTAATTATTTAAAATTTTGATCAATTCTGTATCTTAACAAATTCCAATGATGTGAGATATTATAGGCATAAATAATTCAACTACAACTTATTAAACACCGATCTTAATAACATAAACTTAACATAATAACTATTACCAGGCAATTCATTACAATTTATAATCATTTCAGGATACTCTAATCCACCCCATCAATAAACTAATGGCTCCTCCTAGGAAATTTATCAATTTCGTCTTAAACTCAGTTTTATATAATCACCAAACAAAGAAAACAAAACAAAAAAGTTACAGCCACAAACCAGCTCACAGACCGTTGCAAACAAGACACTAGAACAGCTAGCAAAGAAACCATCCACCAAGGCCTTACGCCAGCAAAAAACAGAGCAAACAGCCAGGACAAAATTGCCAAAAACCCAACAGCCTAGAAGAAGAACCTACAGCAGGCAAGATCACCCAAAAAACCCACTATACCAACAAACAACATGGGGCAAGGATAGCAGCCAAAAAAAGCCAAATTCAAAATGACCAAAACACTGCAAAAACTGCCTCCTACTGCCATGAAAGGAACCGAATTCACCCACATTGAGCTCACAATACAGGCCAATCATCAATTAGATAGACAAACAA